GTCGCCAAAGCACAAACTTTACGACGAAGTGCCATCGTCGCGCAGGGGACGAAGAACCGCAGCGCCAAACACGGCCGACGTACATGCCGACAGAACTCGGCTGTGCAGGCATGTGGCGCATTTTCGGAACGGTGAACGTGCCTCCGCCTGGCTGGCGCGGTTGGCACGGCAACAGCCGAGCTAAACAGGAAGGACACGCCCCGATACGAGTCGAAGGGGACGGCAGGTACAATAATCCGCTGTGGGCCGGTGCACGTCGGACGCCCTTCCAACGTCCGCGTCTACACTGTGACTGAGAACGTCAGCAATGAAAAACTCATTGTTGGAGTGGACTATGCAAAAAATCTGCTCACCTACGAGCGTCCGGCAAAAACGTGACGTGCCCAAATCATCCCGGCCACCGTTCCGCAAACTTTCGTCTTGACGAAACCATCGGAGACGAGAAGCGCTCTGCGGGACGGATCATGCGAGATATCGGTAAGGATGCGGATCCGCTGCACATTGGCATCATGGCGACAGACGGCAACAGCAAGGTCGCGCTCGGCTTGCAGGAAGCTGCCGGATCTGAAAAAGTAGAGTGTCAATTGGACGTGAGACCCCTGAATGAAAATCGGCGAAAGTCGTTCGTAAAACTAAACTTCAGCTCCCAAATGTTCTCTGGCAAGACCAAAGAAGAGCGAGAAAGAGTGAAACGGCAAGTCGCACACGACCCGTGAAACGGCGAGTCGCACACGACCTGAGGCGACGATGCGAGGCAGAATTTCAGGCGGCGTACAAAGCATCGCGAGGGAGCTACAGCAAATTACAGCAACAACTCGCCGACGTACACGAAGCCATCGCGCACTGCTATACGGCGAATTGTGGACGCGCATGCCGCATGCATTCGATCGTTTGTGGCAGGCAGAGCCGTTGGGACACGAGTTACCGTATATGGTCGCGTAATAACCGCGGGCGCCTATAAGTCGCACCTCAATTTGAATCGGGTAACCAAGTATTGCGCCTAGTATATTTCCTCTCACGGTATGGCGCGCTTATAAACCGCAGAGCAAATACAGGGTTGAAATCTGAGGCCAAATTTGCGGTTATTACGCGAGTATATACGGTACCGAGGGACTCGCACCGACCGCAGCAGACGCCGCGCTCCTGGAAGGGTGGATCGCGGATCGCTTCAGCAGGCCGACGCTCGAAAAAACCCGTTTTAACGCGAGCACGCAGAAATCGGAAGCCATCAACAATTCGTACCTGACGTCGAATCCCAAGTGCAAGACCTGGCCGCAAAATGTCTGCGGGCGCATTCACGGGCAAATTCTTCATCTCAACAGAGGCATCGCCCGGGCAACGGCCGAGAAGTGCGAGTTCGTCGGGGCCGCACTCGTTTCCGGAAGCCTGTCCGCCAAGTACCTGCAACAGGAAGAGCAGAGGCGCAACGCCATTAAGAACCAGCAACGACAGCAGCTACAGAGACAAAGGTGGTGTTACGCAAGAAAGGTAAAATATTCGCTTCACGCAAGAAAGTGAGTGAAAGGCGAGGCGACGTGTTCGAAAGGCTTGTTAGACCCGCGTCCAAAGCTTGCCCACGCCTACTGTCAGTAGATGTCACCAACCGCGATAGACAGACTCTATCTTATTGGAGACCATTTAGGGACTTTCGGTGGTTATGCGACTTGGATGGAAAAAAGGGCCTCTCGATTGGCCCTTTTGTATTTTTGTAAATTTGTAAAGTTCTTTGTTGTGACTTATAATGTGATCAATGAATTAAATATGTAGTTTAAATCAATGGTGTTTTTTGTGTTTTTCCACTGTTGTTTGACAATAATTTTTCGTTTTAAAATTTGGGCGAGTACAGATTCTATTCGGGCGAGTTAACTTATTGACTCACTTCTTTCTCACAGCTCTAACCCTGTATTGCCAAATAAATTATAAAGAAAAACCACATTACTTGCATATAGATACATGCTTTAGGGGTAGGTAGAACTAACTGCACTAGAAAAGGATATATTTGAGAGCCTGTGTATGCCGAAACAGAAAACTTATAATTATACGAGTTATTTGTAATAATAAAACTGCGCCTATAGTTTTACCACTCCTAACGGCTAACTAATATTAAGCCACAGTGACGAGTAATAAACAGCAGATCCAAACCGCAACAGCGGGGCGTCAACATCAAAGATTAGTACTTGTTTTTAAAACGATTACAAAAGGGAACATTACGCGCTGGAACAAAATGCGTTAGGGGCTTTTTATTCTTCCCACGGGCAAATAACCACACATTTTAATTGAGTTCACTCCCTCTGTAACAACTAACAAAATAACTAACGAAAAAAAAAACATTACCAAATATCATAGATAGCATCAATTTCATAGAGATTTTCAAAATCGACGTCAAAAGAAGAAACAACAGCTTGATTTAATCACATACATGGCATCCTTGGGGAATATACTGGAAAATAACCATTCCAAACAGTCAATTGCAAGTCAATGAGAAAAAGGGATTAACATAAAGGAATTTATGGGATACATTTTTAGCTCATCTGACGTAGTCAGGTGCAGCTTGTAGAATCGCATGATTGTCCGTGCGTCAACAGTTGGGCACAAATCTTAACCGCTCAAGGTACGGCCACGATATTCGGGTCGTCGGGGGGGGGGGATTGTCAAAACGAGTTGGGATGTCGAAGATGGGGGGTCAAAGGTCAAAGGTCAAGAGGTGTGAAAGAAGGGGGAACATTCCCTCCTTAACTTAAGGTATAGGGAGGAAATGCAGAATTGCGGCACAAATCTAAACTGCTCGACCTAGGCTCGTGATAGTCGGTGTATAGCATCATGGTAGTAAAAGCCATCACTGTGCCGAAATTGGAGGTCACAGGTCAAAGGTCAATGGGGCACAGGGCAGATTTTTACATTTTCTGAGGACATGGTCTGACGGAGCGATTGAAAAACTTTTTTGTTTCAGCGGTGACCTACCATATTTATGGCTTTATTCAAAAGACCATGAAATGTACTTTCCGCTGGCATGTGAAGAGTAAGTGTCGGATAACCTTTTGACCCTCAAGAGGATGGTTAAACATGGATTTGTTTACTGTTAGAAAGAATTTGACTGCCGGGTTTGCTAGTAGAATCTATACATGCCTGGATGTATGACTATATGAGGCTACAATGTCACAGTGAAATTTCAAAAGCTAAATTTGGTTGAAGAAGGTTTATGCTCCTTAAATCGTATAATTTCTATGGCATTCTGTACTGTCAGTGTGTTACATGTAACTTATGCCACTGCCAGTGCATGTGATGGTGATAGTACTGTGTAGTATTTGCCTGCGTTAATTAGTTACAGGTGGCATGGCTTTCCGTTCTTTAATTGGAAGGCCACTTAAACGTGAACGCGAGCCATCTCGTGCAAGTTTCATACCGATCCCAAACAACATTCGTTTGAGAAGGTTCTAGATTACCATCTGTTGATTCCACTGTTGGTCGGTTATGTGAACACATTGGCACCTAACCAGTGGCCGTGTCTGCACGGTAGAATCGGCCCGCACTCACCTCGAGGTACTGTCCACACAGCAGGCGGTTGTTCTGTCCCTTCTCCTCGATCAGGCCTCTCACTTCTAGGTATTTCTTTACTGCGAGCGCGGCGTAGTGCCGCGGCGCCTCGACCTATCCGGATTGAGTAAGCGACCTTCCTCGGCTTCGCCCGAGCCACAGAGTGAGCATGTGGCTACTCCCAACCCTCCTAGGGCCATAATCTTTGATGCACATTTGGAGTGACATAATTTAACTCGGAACCTTTGCACCGGAAAATCTCGATCTTCTTCTGCCGGGTCTGCTCGACGTATTCAAGTGTTATTTTAGTGACTTAAATTAGTCTCTGGTCTTCACATACATAATCCATTATTACAGCAAATATCATTTGTATCACATAGGGAAAGCTTCAGCCCATGTATTATACTCGTCTCTCTCCCTATACTATATAACATATATTATTTGAATATATTCAGAGGTGATAATGCAGAGCCGTATCACGGATCGTCATTATTTATCNTAAAAAGTTAGGTCTCCCTTTTTAGAAAGACGCGGCAACTCTTCGACGACGATGGAAATGCTAAAAAATGACATTGGTCACCGGGGGAATGGAGGTTGTTCACGTTTGTTGGCCGTATGTGCGTGCGTCCTCTTAGCTCTGATGTCGGCACTACTCGCTGTTATCATCGTAAGGTATAAAAAAATCGTTCATATTTTCAATATAATTAACTAATTATGTTGCTGATACAGAATTATTCTATAATTTCATTTAATTATTATTATTAATTATCATAATATAAATTAGGAGCAAATTAATATGATGATTAATTGCAAATAGTCACAATAAATATAATATTTATATATTTATTAAATATGTTATCAAAACTATTAAAAATATAACTAATAATTTATTGAAAATTAATATACAATAAAATCAATGGTAAATCCACTGAGCATTTAAACGTCGGTGAAGATCAAAAGTCAAAAATGAGAATATTTCTGTTTCTACTCAGTTTTTTTCCTTTCAATTTTAAAGTGGTATTTAATATATAATCTAGAGAATATTCTGCCGGAGAGGTTACAAGAGTGGATATCAACTTGATGGAAACTGTTCACCTGCAGTTACAGAAGCAGGTGGAGCAACAGCAAGCAGAACTTGATAGGATGGTAGGCGCCTATAACTCGTACGTAATTTGCGACTACTTTTCTACTCCCCCACACGCACGCACGCACGCACGCACGCACGCACGCACGCACGCACGCNTTTTTGCAGTAAGTAAAGAACCATAAATTACGGCACTCATTACCAAACCCCTGACACGCATTTTGAGCAATGTGTTGCCGTGTATAAAATTACGTTATTCCGACTTAGAATGACAGAAAAATATCCGGCCTATATACCCAATATCATCAGATAATTATAATTATAATTATGAGCCCCTGATGACATAAAAAGTTAAGTCTCCCTTTTTAGAAAGGCGCGGCAACTCTTCGACGACGATGGAAATGCTGAAAAATGACATTGGTCACCGGGGGAATGGAGGTTGTTCACGTTTGTTGGCCGTATGTGCGTGCGTCCTCTTAGCTCTGATGTCGGCACTACTCATTGTTATCATCGTAAGGTATAAAAATCTTTCATATTTTCAATATAATTAACTAATTATGTTGATGATACAGAATTATTCTATAATTTCATTTATTAATATTATTAATTATCATAATATAAACTATGAGCCTATTATTATTATGATTAATTGCAAATAGTCACAATAAATATAATATTTATATAATTATTTATTAAATATGTTATCAAAACTATTAAAAATATAACTAATAATTGATTGAAAATTAATATACAATAAAATCAATGGTAAATCCACTGAGCATTTAAACGTCTGTGAAGATCAAAAGTCAAAAATGAGAATAATTCTGTTCTGCTCAGTTTTTTTCCTTTCAATTTTAAAGTGGTATTTAATATATAATTTAGAGAATATTCTGCCGGAGAGGTTACAAGAGTGGATATCAACTTGATGGAAACTGTTCACCAGTTACAGAAGCAGGTGGAGCAACAGCAAGCAGAACTTGATAGGATGGTAAACGCCTACAACTCCTACTTAATTTGCGGAATATTTCCTTTTACACTACCACACGTACTGTCACACCTATACGCGCGCACCACACACAGGCACACACATATATTGACGTACGAGCACGCATGTACGCACACTCACGCACACGCACACACACACATACACACACACACACACGCACACACATTTATTGACGTACGAACACGCATGTACGCACACTCACGCACACGCACACACACACATACACACACACACACACACGCACACACATTTATTGACGTACGAACACGCATGTACGCACACTCACGCACACGCACACACACACACACACACACACACACACACA